AGGCACAAGTCGACGGATTTCGTCTCTCAGTTGTGCAGAAGCTAACAAGCAAAGTGCGCACCAAGATCATTCCCGAGTTTGACTCGACTGTTTACGGAAAAAATGAGTACAGTAAACTCTCTGTACACAGAACTTGAAGGGACCGGGAAAATATGTTCCATTTAACAGGAGTTCCACTTACTGAGAGGTAGACATGGGTGTGGAATGCAAGCCCGAAGCCAAGCATTACAGAAGTAATAGTTCTGTTAAACAGATTTCCATTTACTGAGGCTCTACTGTATTTAAAACTGTTTAAACATGGGTGGAAAGACCCAAGCTTAAGAGGGTGATAGCTTCGAGTAACAAGAATAAGATGGTTCACAAATAAAGCTGGTGCCGCATTAATCGATGATTTAAGTACAATCTTGTATAGAGTGACAGGGCATTCGTGCCTGCATCTATCAGCTAGTTATCAAGCTATAAGTTATGTGCATGCGACAAGGATGAAAAGTCGCAATCGTATGTGCTATATGTAAGCCTTGTGGCTTTTGTTTGCAATGATTCCAACTTAGCAACGTCACAAGAGAAGTAGGGGGATTAGACAATGAACCCGTACTCCAAGACTGACGTTATTAAAGTTTTGTGTGCAGCTAGTTTGCAGCCGTTGGTCAGATACTTCATGCACGGTTTATGTAGAATTGTTTGACCACCAGTGCGGCACTTTGAGCACCATCAAACTTCCAGAGCTGGTTCCTTATTGCCGCTGTGTCCTAGGTGAGTGCAACATATGATTGGGGGTTGAGGACACCAGATTCTCTACATGCACACCTGAAGAGTATGACTTGAATGACTATGCAGCGTGGATTGCTTCGATCTCAAAAGGTATTAAATTTTACTCATTTCTTTCAAACCACAGATGAAATTGCAAAACAGACATGCTACTGAGATAATCAGGGGTAGGGGTAATTTCCCTGATATTCTACTATTGTGAAAACGTTATTCACTGCTAGACGTATAGAAAGCTTCCCTCCAGAATCGAATGCAGTACTCACCATTGTAGAGCGATCCCCCTTCTGCATACTCCATCACCAGGCAAACCTGCAATGAAAGGCATGTGTGCATGTGAGCTTCCAGAAATATTACCCGATCAGAATGAAAGTGAGCACTTTTCATTTAATGTTCTTGAAGAACAAACTTCCCAGTGGTTCCCTTGCAATGCCCAGCGAACAAGGTGTTTGCACCAACATGAAAGGAATGGTTCCCGCGCTTTGCCCTCTAACTGATTGAGTGACAGCACGAGCCAACACAGTCAAATCTCGTTACAGCGAACCTTAGATTAAATATATTTTTCGGATTAAAAGACTTTTTCGAAAATTCCCTTCCAAATGTCCATTCATTTAATGTCAAAATATTCCGCAAGTACAAATTTTAGAATAATGTATAAAATTTTATCCCCCTTTTATTTCCTAACACTTCAAAATGATGAACAGCAATTTAAAAATGTTACTCGCAGCTGTGATAAGAATGCCCAGCTCTGTAGCTGCCACTACAGTTTACTCTTATTACAACAGGCCATAATGATCCAGCAAAATGAGTCTGTCTTACCGGAAGTCCATAATGTCCAAATTTCGTGGGGTGGGGGAGGGATCACATTGTTGTGTGACAATCGTTCAGATTTCGCTCAGCAGTAGGGGCAGGCAAGTTCTCCTGGTGAACACTGAGTGGCAGCATGTTTACAAAAGACTTAATCACTAGTAGCGGTTATTAATAAAATTGCAGAGCAGTGCGGCAACAGTAGATGCAGGCATGCCATGTGGCTTCAGCACAGCAACAAAGCTTAGCTCGATAATAAAACATTTTTAGAAGGCTTTTTCATATGCTCCTGTTGATCCTTCATCTGAGAGTTCTTAACTGAGCAGCACCAAGGCACCTTTTGCACTAACATTCTAATTTGACAGCAGAACTCACCTGCTCGGAGCACCGGAATGTCTTGCTTTTAAAACACAGGTCGTGATGCCTAACAACGTTACTGCAATGAGTGACCAACATCTAATGCAAACATTTATTTACAGTTACTTTGAAAAGAAACTAGTGATCAGCAATTGGTGAGCACCCTTGAGCGATGCTGTTAGTGTCACTTTGTGCCACATTTCACTCAGCTGCAAACTTCGACACTGTAATCGATTGGGCAGGATTAGGCATTGCGAGCACCGCAGTGATCATGTCGAAAAACCCTTTCGTCTTTCTAATACAGGCGCTCAGCTTTATGCTTTCTTGCAACCACTTCACGGATGCCACCTGGACACCCAAAAGCACCGTATCGACACTGATTGTTCCGTCATCTGCCAAGTGCTCCGAAGCAACAATCGAGGAGCTGGGATGCGGCGCATTTCTTGGGCAGTTGGACGATCTGGGCAACGCCCCCATCGGAGGCAAATCAGCCGGACCAACGCTATCGACATTGGGCATGGTGGCACTGCAGTGGTCATGTCGAGTAACCCTTTCTTCTCTCTGATCTATGTGAGAAAACATTTGGTAAATGTTACAAAAGTAGTAAAGTATGTTTTTTGGTGCTGCCATGCCCAAGCCATGTGTATGCAACCGTGTGCAATTGTGTAGTGTCTTTGAAGTACTTATTGATGCTTGCTGGGGACGTAGAACGTAATCCCAAATTTATCAATCAGGAATACTTGACCGAAATTCGCAAGTTGACAGCTGATTAGATAAAAAACCATAAATGAATTTCTGGAAGCTATCCATGGAAAATAGGTACTTTGGCAAAATTTGAGGGTAGAATCACTGGTGTTGAGGAGAAGATTGCATCATTCGAAAATACTATTACTATTCTTAAAATTAAGGTTGACGACCTTGAAAATAGAAGCGGAAGATCAAACCTAATTAGTTATGGCATTCCTTAAGACAAAAACGAAAAGTAATTGATCTGGACATGAAAATCTCTGAAGAATTCATCAAAAATTCCCTCGGAGTAACAATCGCAGGAGTAGGCAGAATGCACCGTCTTGGAAGCAAAAGACGGTCTGTTATTCTGAAATCGCAGTGCTTCGAAGACAGCGAAAATAATGAAGAATTGCTTTGAGCCTAAAAATACCAGTGTGTCTGTGGGCGAGGATTTTTCTCTACATGTACGTAATATTTGGAAGAAACTTTGGGACAGCAGTAGGAACAACCAAAATAAGGGGGAGAAAGTTACACTTGTGTTCGAAAAGATTAAAATCCATGGCCAAGTCTACATCTGGGATGAGCATAAAGAAGCCAGAGCAGTCATGGGAAAGGAAACTGGCGTCCGCAAGAAAAAAACTGAGTGAAAATGAAACGCCCTTCAGCTTAATGATTGTGAACATAAACGCCACAAGTGTTATGTACAAAACCACAGAGCTAAAAGCATTCATTCTCGAGCATCAGCCTGATATTCTAACAATAGCCAATACATGACTTTCACCTGATATTTCAAGTAGCGATCTATTCTCACCGGGTTATACTGCGATGCGTAAAGATAGATGCTCTCCAAGTGCTGGCGTAGCAATTTTGATAAAAAGAAAAACCTTATGTCACTTTCATGCCGGAAGACGGTGCTGAAACACTTTGGCGTAAAATTGCGACAGGTAAATTTTACCCTTTTCTAGGCATCATGTACTGCCCCCGTAACGCTTGCAATGATATCTTCCCTGTGTTAAGAAATTATATGGAAGATCACTTCACATAGAGGGCAAAGATAACCCATACGGAGAATTTCAATTTCCCCGGTAAATTGTGGGACTCCCACAATAATACTGCCGTTTCCAGTCATGGAAACGGTCTGCCTGATCTTCGTTTGAGCTTAAGCCTCAGACACATCATACCGGAACCAGTACGTGTTACAACAAATAGCAGCGATGCACTCCATCCGACCTTTCTGAGTGATAGTATACCAGAAGATAGTGTTTTATGGGAAGTCATTGAAGGCGCATCGGACCACAGAGCGACTAAATGTTCTCTCTTCCAGGGAATGCTTCCGCCTACCCAAGGAGGGAGTATAAACGTTCTTGACTGGACCAATGCCAATGAGGTCAGCCTTCTTGAATATCTAGATCACTGCGATTCCACCTTTACTTCATTTTCAAAAGATGACACATGTTCAGTCGACAGATTTGGATAGCGTTTGAAAAAAAGCATTTAGCACTGCTTGTCAAAATATGTTCCCACAAAGATCAAAATGATACGTAAGACAAACCCTTGAATAACAAGAAAAAAAATGCAGCTACAGCGAAAGCTTGCCAGATTATGGGAAATGTGAAATAGGCTATCAATACCAAGCTACAGTTCTCAAATAAGCAAACAGTCTCGTACATAAAAGTAAGCTGTAAAGAAGGCAAAATATGAATATATTAACATCCATCTAATTATATTTATAAAAGAATCCCTTTCTAAGTTCTGGAGATATCTCAACTGAAAGCCTTGTCAAACCAGTAATCCATCACCAACTGAAGCTATTGCAAAGGCCACAGAGTTCAATGATTACTTTGTTTCCGTATTTACACGCGACAACGGTAATAAACCTGACCCGAGTTCTCTTCCGAGTAACGCAGAAAAACTACACGATCTAATCATAACCGAATCAGGCAGTTTTTGCCTGTTACTTAAAATCGACGCTAAAAAATCCTGTGGCTTCGACAACATACCAAATGTATTTCTGAAATGCTACGCAGAATGTATGGCAAAATTCTTATTAATTAGTTATGTAAAATCAATGAAAACAGACGAAACTCCATAGAAATGAAAAATAGTCGAGGTTATTTTTATACATCAATCCAGTGACCTTACCAGTGTGTCATAAATCGTCCAATATCGCTTACTTGTACCGCCTGCAAAATTCTTGAACATATAATCCTGAAACACATTGTATCATTTGTAGAAAACAACAACTTAATTGTGCCTTATCAGCATGGCTTTCAGAAGGGACTATCTACGACTAATCAGCAGATTGAGACAATCCATGACTTGGAAGTTAGCCCATACAATAGGCAAATGTGGCCAAACCAATATAATACTTTCAGATCTATCCAAGGTATTCGATCGAGTTTCCCATACAAAGTTACTTCAGAAACTTGCCCATTACCTCGGCGATAACAATATCACCAAATGGATGGAAAGCTATCTTGCAGAACCGCGCCAGTATGTCTACTACAGAGGCCACTCCTCGGATTACGGTGAAGTGCTGCCTGGCGTCCCACAAGACGTCGTTCTAGCTCCTATACTTTTAATTCTTTTTATAAATGATCTGTCAATTAAACGCAATGTAAGAGTAAGAATATTCGCAGATAACTGCATCATCTATAAGGAAACAACCTGCTGCGAAGACTAGATCATCATGAACAGAGCCCTTGAACCTGGAACACAATGGTGCCATACATGGCAGATGGTGACTAACGCAAATAAAATGGTTTCTATGACAGCGATGAATAGAAAAACACCCAACTTCACATATTGTTTACAAGGAAAGATATTGAAGATTGTCGAGGAGTATAATATTCAGGAATGAAAATTTCATCTGACCTCAGATGGGACGAAAAGGTAATATATGTGGTTAACAAAGCAATGGCAACATTGCACTCGTTAAAACACTCGCTTAGATGCGCGTCTGGAGTGTCTAAATGCCTAGCGCACATGTCACTCGTTTACCCAACATTGCAGTATGGAATAGTATGTTGGTTTCCTTTCCAAGAACAGTACATCGCAAAACTAGAGAATGTACAAAGAAAAACACTTAGATTTTTCTTCAATGAGTATCGCCGTCATGACTCTCCGACAGAACTATTAGAACAAAGTAAACTCCCCATTATAGAAAATCGAGCCAGGTTACTTTGTCTTAAGTTTCTCTTTCTTCTTCTTGATGGCAGCATGAAGATTCACGTGAGTAATACCGATGTCACAAAGGCATTTTTAATCGTGATCAGTGCCAATCCGAATTAACCACGATCAGGATTAGGTGCTGCTACACAGTCACTCTTATTCGTGATCAGGGCCAATCGGGATCAAAACTATCGCTATTCACGCATCACAATCTGGCTGAGAGATCATGATTTCATGTTGTCTGCACTCCCTGGCCAAGCTTGTTGAAAGCAAAAAAACAAGAAAATCAAGCATAGATCTGTAAAAACACGTTTAAAAAGCTAGATATTTATTCGTAAAAGAAATTTTAAACTGTTTCAACTGGAAAAATATGGCACATTTTAAGGTTCGTATTGAGCGCATGTAGTCATGCGAGAAGCAGACGACAAGTTCAACTCTCGATCCGTTAGAGCAGTTGGATCGAGCATCACAAAGCAAATTGGTTATGTGTGTCACCAGGTTTTCGACTACGTCGAAGCATACATGCACTTCGTGGTCAAATGAAGAGACTTTACCGCTGGTAGGAGCAACTGGGAGACTTGAGGCGCCAGAAGTGAAACTCTGGCGTGTACAACGAGATTGCCGTTTCACTGCGACTGGACTGCTACGAGCAGGTGCCATCAGAAATGAAAGTGAAGATTAGGATTCTCGTACAGCAATACAGGCAAGCGCAAATTAAAGTGTACTGAATGATGAATTTATGAAATTAATTTTGTAGAGTCACGCAAAGTTTTTGACGTTGAGTGGTTCTTGCACGAATAACACATTGCTGATAAAAGGCTCTATTGAAATATCGTAAGCTGAGTTTTGTCAATGACATGTTTTGCGGCATGCAAGTGCTACCTGGTGCATTTCATCTGACCCAAGCTCGAACTGGATTAGCTTGGGCTGTGTAACAGTGACTTTAAAGTTAATAGCGATCAAGAAAAGCGATCTAGGTCACTGTGATCATGATTAAAGCACCCATGTGACACAGGTATCACTATTTACTGCACTCAGACACATCCAGTTCACAAACTAAACACATGAAGCACCTAGTTGAATACAGATTTCATAACGACATTTTTAGATGATCCTTCTTTCCGCAAGCAATTCGAGACTAAAATCGTTTGCCCAACGATGCCATCACGTGCACTTTACTGGACGCTTTTATCACCCGGATATCAAACTATGCTTTGTAGTCATCCGCATGCGGGCAATATGTTTGATTCTCTGCATCTTGAATATCGTACCTTGTCATTCTTGCTTTGATTTTTTACGCTGTTGATAAGGGTTTTCGATGACTGTGTTTTAATGTTTTGATGATATGGGTTTTAGATGATGATGAAAGCCTCTATTTTTTGTTTATTATGTTTGTCTCTCTTGAAACGATTGCACAGTTTCTGCTATTGCTTTTCTTTCAGCATTACATTTTCTAACATGCTGTTTATTACTGCTTTTACCATTCCTACTAGCATTTGTACAGTCTACTGTGGATAGTGCTTGTTATGTTTTGGTGAACTCCAATTGTGTATGTGCCTTATGGAACTGTTTTCTTTTGAATATGTGTATTTTTCCTTTTTCAAATGTGAGGCTAGCAGTACGCTTCAAATAAATAAGTAAATAAAATAGTCATCCTCCTGCAGCTGCAAGTATTCCTTCAATTCATCAATGCAGTGAATCACCGGCTACAAAGTCAGCCTGACTGCAGGGAAGTCGTCTTTGTGCTTGCTATCGTCGTCTAATGACAGCTCTTAAAACGGCCTTTGATCATAGCTCTCACCTTCTCGTCAGTCAGCTCCTCATTATCGATGACGTCGTTGTCAAATGTGAATAAGTCGGAGAAGCTGTCTGCACCGAAAGTCTCCCCGACTTGACGCGAACATCCCAGATGTCGAAACACAAGATTGTCCCTCATGACGTTTGAAAACGCAGTCATCTGCACCACTCTCTGGCACAAGGCTGCGCTTGCTAGTCCCTTTATGTGAGGTGCGAAGGGGAGAAGGTCACGTCTCGCCAACTAGCGCATCGCTGAGTGCAGCAGCTGGATCAAGACCCTGTGCTACTTTTGAAAGATATTTGAACTTTAGCATCAGCAACTGGGCCACTTTTGCAGTGGCCAAAACACTGGCTGCCAAAATGAAGATTACCTGGGTTAGTCCACAAGGTTCCCTGCACTGATTACCATGTCACTTAACACCGACGAGACAAATAACTACCAAAAAGAATACAGCAACACCGCACCAATGAAGGTAGCCCAACTGATGAAGTGAAGTGCTCTCAAAACACAGCGAAAAGATAACCAATCGCATCAACTTCGACGACACCCAGGTCATCAGACCAAAAGGTAGCCGCACTTAATGTTCTGGCATATACAAACAACACCTGGAAATATTAGCCCTTCAACTGGGAAAAGTGTATATGTACAGTCTTCGGAACCCACGGTGAAAACAATGCAGTAACATGAACAGCGGGAACAATGGCAGTCTCTAGAAGAACGGCAGTTTCTAGCTGGACAGTCACCCCCTCAAAAAGAGACCGAATGGGCCGGGAAACACAAGGTCAGTGTTGAATTTTAATACTGCCACGAACGTAATCACAGACAGCGACGAAACGACGTCTTGCTTGCTCTCAGACCAGGACGCAAAAGCCCTCTTCTTTCTTCACTTCTAAAGGATTCCACCTACCATTGATGGCTCATACCTATTACCTGTGACATTACTCCCTCCCCTCGAAAAGCATCGGCTTGATGCTGGTAATGAACGTTGAGAAAAAAAATTAGAAAGAAAAGATGCTACCATGGAACCCAACAACTTCATCGTAAGGGGGAAAAAAATGGGCTGGCGTCATAGAAGTACTCAAAAAAGAAAGGAGTAAGTACACAAGACAATAAAAAAAACCAAAGTGACAAAAAAATAGTCATTGCATGGTAAGTTAGTCCACGTTCGATGTATGACGCGAGAAATATGGCTTGAGTCTTGACACGTGCACCACATCACTTTGTGGAAACCGACGGGAACGTCTTGAGGCGCCCTCAGGGAGAACTTCATACGTAACGTCACTGAGTGGGCGCAGAACTTTGTAAGGGCCGAAGTAGCGCCGAAGCAACTTCTCAGAGTGACCACGCTGTCGGATGGGAGTCCACACCCAAACTTCATCGCCTGGTTTGAAGGTAACCTCTTGGTGTGTAAGGTTGTAGCGGTGTGCGTCGGCAGTTTGGCGAGCCTGAATACGGCATCGGGCGAGTTGACGGGCCTCCTCGGCGCGTTGAGCGAACAATGCAGCATCCGTGTTGAACATGCTCAAGTTGTTGGGAAGGAGCATTGCATCGAGCATTGTAGTGACCTCACGACCATGAACTAAGCGAAATGGGGTGAAACCTGTACTCTCTTGGACTGCTGTATTGTAAGCAAAAGTTACGTAAGGGAGTATATCATCCCAGTTCTTGTGATCAACGGCCACATACATAGCATATCTGCAATGGTCTTGTTCAACCGTTCAGTGAGTCCATTTGTTTGGGGGTGATAACCCGTGGTTTTCCAATGTTCTGTACCACTTAGTCTCAGCACTTCTTGAAGCATCTCTGCGGTGAAAGCTGTACCACGATCAGTAATTATTACAGCTGGCGCTCCGTGACGAAGTACAATGCTGGCGACAAAAAACTGTGCGATTTCGGCTGCGGTAGCTTTGGGCAGGGCCTTTGTTTCACTGTAACGCGTTAAATAATCGGTGGCAATCACAATCCACCGGTTTCCAGACGAAGAGGTGGGAAATGAGCCGAGCAAGTCAATGCCAATTTGATAAAATGGTGTCTTCAGCGTGGCGATAGGCTGTAGTAGTCCTGCCGGTCGAACAGGTGGCGTCTTACGGCGTTGACAGTCACGGCATGTGCGGACGTACTGCTTGACTGTCTTCGCGAGGCGAGGCCAGTAGTATGAGCGGCGAATTCTTTCCAATGTGCGCGTGTAGCCAAGGTGTCCGGATGATGGTTCGTCGTGACAAGCATGTAAAATATCGTCCCGAAGCGAGGTCGGCGCAACCAGTAGGTAAGTAGCCTGAGTATGGTCGAAATTTTTCTTATAGAGGACTCCATCTCTGATGCAGAACGAGGCCAGCGAACGTGCGAAGTTTCGAGGAAGGCTGCGTTTTCGGCCTTTGAGGTAG